AAGAAAGAAAGAAAGAAAGAAAGAAAGAAAGAAAGAAAGAAAGAAAGGAAGGAAGGAAGAAAGAAAGAAAAGAAAAGAAAAGAAATCATGACTGCATTGCTAATCAAAAATATGAATCACAGATCTACAGTGGTCTAAGGAGTCATCTGGGAATCTGGGTGTTTGTAGACAATGAAAACTGAAATGTCCGTGGCTATCAAACACAAACCAGCCCAAAATGACTTAAAAATAATAGTAATACCATGCAATGGCTCACCCGTAAACACATCACTTGTTTTGTGATGTGCTATAATCAAATGTCAGTAGCAAATAAGTTTCCTTAAGTTTAAAGCAAGAAAGAATCAAGGAGTGGAAGACTGACAAGCCCTGGGCCAGTTCTGCCTTCTGAAGCCTGCCCACTCATTTTCACACAGATTGGATTTGCAACTGCCCCTGCTATGACAGCCCTTGGGCCCTGTGCAAGCTGCCAGTAATTTCCAAATGGAAAGGCAGACTTGTAAAATGTCCAATGTGTCCCCAAGGAGAAAAAAACAACAACAAATTCACTTATACCCGTGCCCTGAGATGGATTTAAACTCAAGTCTCTAGTGAAGTAAAGAGGAGGCATTAACCTTCAGTGACATCTAGATCCAGAAAATAAAAAATAATTTGGTAAACCACTGGCCCATAGTGCAGCCTTATCCCTTAAGGTAATTAAATCCAGCCAAAATATTTAAGCTTAAAAACTACCCACTGCACAGCCACACTTGACTTGCTTGTAGGAATTTGCATGAAGAGATTTAATTCATACTTTAAACACAAAACTACTTAACAATGACAGCTTCCAAAGCCATTCAATCAAAACAACTTTTAAACTTCAGGTAAAACAACACTATTCATGGCAAACAGTGTTCACAGAAATTATTTTTAACAGTATCTACTTATTGTAAGGATAGAGAAAATTCAGAGTAGATTTACACAGTGTTTCAATACAGCACTTGAGCAAGTAAGTGTTCCTCAGTACAACATTGTAGTCATTTAAACAACAAGCTTTCTGACTATGCTTCTTTGAAACCAAATATAATTTTTATATGCATCCATACACACATACACACCCACAAGATCAAGGGTAGCCATAGAACTTGGAACTTTAAAAATCTCAACACAGAAGAGAACAGAAAATAGCCTCTGTGGTAATTTGAATGAGGGTGGCCCCGTAGGGTCATATGTTTCCATGTTTGGACTCCAGTTAGTGCAACTGCTTAGGAAGGATTATTGCGGTCCTGTTAGAGGAAGTATGTCACTGCGGAGGCTTTACGGTTTCAAAAGCCCAATGCTAGACTAAATTTTGCTTTCTCTCTCTCTCTCTCTCTCTCTCTCTCTGTATGTGAAACTTTTGGATCAGATGTGTTCTGTCAGCTACTTCTGTAGCACCATGCCTGCCTGCCTGCCTGCGGCCATGCTCCTTAGTATTCTGGGGTAATGCTATGACAGGTCTGACCATGCTGCTGTTTGTTGGAATATGGAAAATTTGGGGAATTTGGATTAGGAAAACAACCCAATGGCGTAAGAAGGGCTTAAAGAACCACCCTAGCAGGAACATGGACGACAGCAGTGCTGAGAGCAGTGCAGATTCTAGAGGCCCAGCTCAAAAGGTTTCAGAGAATATGAGAGATCATTCTTGTGACATTTTGGCAAAGAATGTGGTTGCTTTTTGCCCTTCTCCTAAAAGATCTAATTGAAGAGTTTTAGATTAGTGACTTTGGCAAAGGAAATTTCAAGATAGCCTACCACTGACTATGTCACATGGTTATTAGTAATCACTCCTATGCAAATACACAACAAAAAGGATCAAGCAGGACAAAGAGAAATATAAAACGTCCAGTTTGAAGAGGAAAAAAAGCAACAGGAAATGTAATGGAGGTGCCAAATCTTGTGCTCAAAAAGACAAGTTTAAAGAAAAGCCTGATGCCAAATGAAATAAAGAGTGGTTATTGAGGCTGGAGAGATGGCTCAGTGGTTATGAGCACTAAGTCTGCTCTTCCAAAGAACCCAAGTTCAACTCCCAGCACCCACATGGCAGCTCACCACTGTCTGTAACTCCAGTTCAAGGTGGTCTGACACCTTCACACCAATGCACATAAAATAAAATTAAATAAATTATTAAGGGTGTGGGAGTATCTCATGGCCACACCAGACCTAGCTAATCCTGAACCCTATAAAAAGGTCTGAAAATTTCCTAGGCCTAAGCAGCAAGGAAAGCTTATGCAAATGTTATTCAAGGAGTGTCCCAGGTTCCAGCCCCAACAAGCAGAAGAACTTGGCAGGTTTCGTCAAGTGGTTCTGCATTTAGAGTCAAGAAGGATATAGGAAATGGGTTATGTAATCTTCCTCCCCAATCAAGGAAAGCTGCTGAAGCCAGACCTGTGACAAGGGAGTCTGCCTGAAGGCTCAAAGAGAATTACTTGAAGCTGTGAAGGTGAAACCCAGACTCCAAGATGTTGGAAGTGCCAGAGCCATAACATAGCTGCCAAGGAGAACTACACAGAGGAAATGGACCTAGCCCAAGAGAGAAAAATATGCTGTAATCAAGTAAGCTGAAAGGAATAGGAAATTGGAAGAACCTTCTAAGAATTTGGAGTTTGTCCTGCTGGGTTTCAGTCTTGCTTTGGTGCAGTATATGCTCTCTATGCTTCCTTTCCTCCTTTTCAGAATGGTAATGTGTGTTATGTGCCATTGTACTATGGAAATATGTCTTTTTTATTTTGATGGGGGCTACAGTAACCCCCTGTGAGATTACCTTTAGTCTCAGAGGTAATGAGACTTTGAACTTTTGAAACAGTATTGAGACTCACCATGGAGAGTTTTGAAGTTTAACTGAATGTGTTTTGCATTATGATATAACTACAAGCCTATGGGAGCCAGGGAGTAGAATGTGGTGGTCTGACTGTAAATGGTCCCGTAAGTGCATATGCTTGAATGTTTGGTTCCCAGTTAGTGGAACTGTTGGGAATGATTAGTAAGTGTGCCTTTGTTGGAGGAGGTGTGTCACTGGAGATAGGCTTTAAAGTTTCAAAAGCCCACATGAGGCCCAGTCTTTCTCTCCTTGTCTGCAACTTGCTTATCAGATGTGAGCTCTCACCTACTGCTCCAGCACAATGCTTGCCTGTCTTCCAACACTCTCTCTGCCATGATAGTCATAAACTAACCCTCTGAAACTGTAAGCAAGCCCCCAATTAAATGCCTCCTTTTGTAAGTAGCCTTGGTTATAGTGTTTCATCATAGCAATAGAAGAGTAACTAAGACAGTATCTTATATCTTTAAAGAAACAATCATTTTATTCTGGATGCTTTAAAGTCTATTTACAAAGTTAAAAATTACAGAGGTCAAGGAAGCTTTCTAATATACAGAAAATGGCCATTTTATAAATTAGCTCATTGAGTAAGTCAGTTAGTTTTCCCATCACAGGGATAAAACACCTAA